AATCTTGCTCAAATTTGCTCAGTCTGATTTTTTTCACATAAGTAGAACACTATATGAACATTTCAAAAAAATATAAACTAGGTTTTGGAAAACATTATAACAAAGCCAAAAATGCCCTGCGCCCGCATTTGCTATATAAAATCTAGCATAAAAACCATAGGCAGTCGCTTATTAAAATGGTTCTTTGACTACAAAAACCAGCGAATTCTTCGTAATAAAAAACTCTTTTTATGTTTTGGGCATTCTCTAACACCAATAAAATTGTTTTATTGGCTAAAAACATAGATAAACAAGCCTAAATTTACCTTTGAAAGATCTTCTTGTCAGCCGAACTTCCTCTACGAACGGTCCGCCATTGTTGACAGTCAGAGTAGTGCCCAGTCCTCCTCTCCGCATCACGGATCGGCCAATAGATGTATGCCCGTTTCAACGCCCTCCCTCCTCCCGCCCTGATAAAATCTAGTTATAGACCGTTTTGACGTGACGTCACAGCGGCAATTATGGGGTACCAAAACAATACATTGTCTATCCTCTGGGAATTGAACTCTATTTTTATGCAAATAACTGTGCAGAAAGTTTCTATTGATTATGGCTGCCTTCTCACGTGAGTGAAAACGCTCTATAATAGAACTGCATGTGAATCGTTTCCAAACGAGTTTATAGATGGCCCACCGCCGTAGCGGGGTGCTTTGTATATAGTAGTTTCAATACTGTATTACATACGCATTTCCATAGCAATTAAAACTTGCACACCATGATCATGCACTTGAATCTGCGCTCTAATATTAAGTTATGTCGGTCAAGCTTTTTATAGATAAACTGCTTTTCTTTTCATTTCCGCTATAAATATTTTTGTCGCGGCTCTCATTCATCTTCAGATTTCAGCTCCTTTGTTTTAGCTTACATTTCAGTTTCGTTATTAAGGTTTTCTTGTGGATACTACGTTCTTCAGGGATAAGCACGAAACTGCTATTGAAAAAAGGCAAAAATGGTGGTACGTTAAAGCCAAAAAATATTGATTATCTGTTTGAAAAGTAAACAAAAGTAAAATAAGTTGTGAGTGGGAAAAGCTTTGCTTGAAACAACCAGGAATATGATTGGTGGATTTATTGTTGTTTTACTATTTTCCTGCTAAATTTTGATTGCTAAATTTGAGAGAGGAAACCATTTGAGCACCATGCAGGTTTGTAACTCGTGTTTTTCTCCCATCACAATCCTCTAAATCTTTGCTTGCACGCGACAAAACGCCGGCTTTGTTCAAACTTTAGTTATTGCGAGTTTCGGTCCTTAAGCTTTAAAAAGATTTAAAAACCCGCTTTTTAAGTCAAGAGTTTCAATTTCAAAGCTTATGAAACTTCTTGGCCAAAAATGTTCACGAAAAAATGAAATTGTTTTTGACTCGCGCACCAGTGAAATTTTATCGCCAGCTAAGTTTTAGGAAAAGTCGTTTTTCTTCATGATGTTCATCCAAAAGTTTAATCGCGTAACAGCACCCTGTCTTGCGGTTCATATATATATTCTCGGTATTCTCTACGTGTGTCCTATTCTTTTTCATTGAAAAAATATGTTTGTCTTGTCCGGGTTGCTATAATGATACTGACGCGCTTCCCAGCTGTCATGGTAACATAGATCCAAGAGGTTATTCATCACCAACGAATTGCCACTAGCTAAAAATATTTATTATTTATAAAGACTTTTATGTCAACATTCTATTTCCGTCTAACAGAATCTAGTATAAATTGTGGTAGACATAATATGACAAAGTCTAAACCTGGCATCTATCCTACTTTTCTAAATTTAAAAACAAAATTCATTTTTTTATGTAAATACGAACTCATCTTCTCTGATGTTCAAAATGTTTACGTTACAACCTGTCGATTAGTTAATGTTGTCAAGAAAAGCTTCAATATATCTTTAGAACAGTTTTTCAGAGTTCAATATTCATAAGTATTATCACTATAGTGGATTCGATAATTTACTTTTGTATTTGTCGGCCAAACCCCATTGGTTCCTCGTAATTTTTATGCACATCTTGGAACAACTAGAATAAACATCACAGACGGTCACCATCACATTGATAATGAGTTCGTAGCCGCACATTTTCACCTTGGCTCTAACTACGCGTTTCAATTGGTTGAGTCGCGCTTAAGAAAGCCATTACAGTGCTACCGTACCGTTAGTCTCCTGAGCAGCCATTCTTAATGTCGGTCCGAAACGCTGCCCTCTAACGTGTTAGTAGAGAGGGAGTTTCGGACCAACACTACCTTGAGTGAACATCTTCTTTAAGTGTCAGTGCAAACACGCTAAATAAATCCAGATTAATTCTATGTTCTTTGATTATCCATTAAATCTTCTTTTTCGGCATTGAGTTGTCTGCCGTGTCTACTTAGCTGAGTATGACCATAAAATGAATTTGCGATTATTTTCCTTGTTCATTATGAACTTCCATCTGGAATTATGTATGAATCTCGGGCATAGTCGACCCTGGGAAGCTTAGCTCTGTCGTGACCCCTTTGCGACAAAAGTTCTCGCGATTTAAATGCCTCTTTACTATAATATCCCCAGTGCTATGTTGCTCCACTGATCTGTCATTCAGTGACGAGGTGTTTTGGTTGCTGTCGGTTGATGAGACTTTGGAACTGCTGGACAAAATCCATAGGAGAAGTATCGCCATGTATAGTTCAAAAACCCGTTGCGCGGTATTGAAGGCATACCATGGCCATGGAGCGACGTTATAAGCATTAGAAAACACTCCGTAAACTCCTGCCATGCCGTAGAGTTGTGATATACACAATAAAAACCCGCCAACTATAACCATATTGCAGACAACTAGCATGGATTGAAATACTGTCCCTTCGCTCTTCCTCCGTCGAAACTCGTTCATTCCAGTTTTCACACTCCGTTTCTTTTTGCACAATACTCGTGCCACAAAACCGTAGAATAATAGCAGCAGAAGAGTAAAAAGTAAGTATAGCAGTTGACAGAGGAATGTTAGGACTTTTAGCGATGGTATAAACGCTACGGTCATTTCAGCTATGCCAACGAACATGAAGTAAGACAGAGCCGTCATGGTGATGTTTTTCGTTGTGTACCAAGTCTTAAAACGTTGGCGCATACTCAAAGCATTCTTGAGCACTAGAAACAAAAGAGAATAAGGCGTAATAATACAAGGGTGGCCTACGCCCCATAGCAATTTCACCGCTATCGGAGGTAACATCTTTCTATAGTGATATCCATCAATGACAAGAAACAGCCCTCTCGAAAAGCCAAATACTGATAACAGACTGAAGTTTATAATATGGACGACTTTCTTGTGCCCAGAGGTGTGTCGCAGTCGTAGCATCGATACGATCCCATATAAAGCCGTTAGTATAAACACAGTACCAAGTCCATAAAAGATGAACTTCCCAAGCTGCTCCCCACTCGACGACGGCTGTAGACCATTCCGGGACTGGTTCCACTTGAACAGCATGTTCTGAACTAGGCTCGGGTAACTTTACTTCTGGCTCCGCAGATACGTTAATGCTGGAGGATGGAGTGGCTTGCTCAGGTTCTGGTTCTGTCATCTTAAATTATGGAGAGAGAAAAAATAATATTCGTAGACCAGAAGTTAGGAATAGCACCAGGCGGAGTTCTCTAATGTTCAAATAAATGAACACGATGTCAGAGTGATGAGCCAATGAAATGCAGCGTACTGGAATGGACCAACGGCGATGGATATTTACACAGCTGACCGGCTGTTCATCCTTAAGCCACTCGACTAATGTATTAAATATACGATTCTAGTCTTCAATAATAATAAACTTAATCCAATGACGATAAGAAAGGAAGCTTTCGAAGTTTCAGAATATTTTTCGCGAATATAACGCAGTAATTATTCCTAATTAGCCGGTGTATTTTGAAGACGTATCATTAGTGAATCGACACCATATCAGCTGCCTCGTTTTACAAAACAATTGAATATGCAGATCAATTTCGTCGATGTTAAAACGTTGAAATTAGTTTTTGCTGTTTAGTATTTGAATAAAAGAAAAAAAGATCCAAGACCGTTCACTTAATTTGTTGGTTGAAACATTCTCTTTGAAGTGTTTTTATTCCTCGCCACTAAACAGAACTCTGACCTTTCGAAAACAGCTATTTCATCCGTTCCTAAACAACCTGGAACTCTGCCTGCTGAATAAGGAAAAGAACAATAACTTTGTCTAAATTCAAAACCTGTCTGCACTTCTCTCACTCTACGACCCTGAAGACCCGCAAACGTTGAAATCTGTCTGCGTCAAATGTCATCTTCCAAGAAAGGAACTTTAAATGTTGTTTTTAATTTAAGTGTACTTCGCCGAACTAAATGTCATAAATGTTAAATTTTGTGTATATGTAATTCAAAATAATTAGATTAGCTTGTAGAATCTATTGTAATTATTGGGAAAAACCTGTAATAGATTCCTAGCCCCTAATCACTGACCTCCCTGACAATATAGGTAATAGTAGGTTATGTAAAATAAAATAAAATAAAATAAAATAAAATAAAATAAAATAAAATAAAATAAAATAAAA